TAGGTGGCAAACTTTTGAATTTTATATCCGCTTACCTGGACACTCGTTCACAACGAGTTAAGATTTCGAATACTATCTCCGACCGCACACGTGTGAGAAGTGGAGTCATTCAGGGTAGTGTATTCGGCCCGCTTTTATTTTGCCTTTTCGTTAATGATGTACCCGATTTACTTCAGAATGGTAAGCCTTTAATGTATGCCGATGTTCTGAAAGTTGCATATCGATATAAGCCGGAAGATCGTGACATCGTGCTTGAGCTCCTAAAGAGTGACCTACAGGATTTTGCCCACTGGTGCTGCACATGGCATATGTGCTCAGTCATGGTGGTTGGCGACGACCGCCAACCTCAACTAAGTATTGACGGTCACGCCATAAATGTGCCTGGGGTTATTAAGGATCTGGGTGTTTTTATAATCCAAGAGTCTCAATCTTTCTGAGCACTGTGCCTTGCTAGTCTCCAAAGCACGTAGAACGACCGGGTTTTCCTCCGAAACTTTAAAACTATGGACATTAGAATGCGCTTAATAACATGTACGTTAGATCTGGCCTGGAATACTGTTCGTTTTTATTTAGCCTCATGCGTGCTACTGAGCGAAAGAAAATAGAATCCTTCCAATATTTTTTTTACCAAGAGCGTTTTAACCCTGGAACACTGACATTTGTCTTACCAAGAACGTTGCCGGCTCACATGCCTTGATTCTTTGTGGTTTTGTAGATTACAAAAGGGATTATTTTTACTGTTTAAGCGTTTATATAATCGCACCTTCAACCCTCTCAGTACTTTAAGCCATCTTGTCCACCCCCGACGCAACAGTCATCATGAGATATTTCTATTTCTTCCTCTGGCACTTACCGTTAAACATCGTCGGTTCTTTCTCTAAATGCAGTTTTTATTTGGAATAAACTACCCAGAAAGGTGAAAACTCCGCAAAATCATCCTTTATCTAAGAGAACTATTACTCAATTTTTGCATTCAGAAAAACTCCCACAAGTTCTGGGTGCTGAATCCACTGATCGACTTTACCGTAGCGATGGCGATTGTGGTCTCTGACCATTATGGCCGGTCTCACCAGGGGCAATTTCTTTGTCCAACAGCGACAGCTCTCCTTCGGCGCTTCTGGTTGGACCAACCTCCACTTCATGAAAAGAATTGGCGACTCATAATATCCCATGCAGTGCTTCCCTTCCCTCCTTGACTGTCGAAATTTCGTGGTCAGCAATTTTTTTCTCCGGAAACATCCAAGCAATAAAAACTACCACCAACTTTATTTTTATTCCTTTTTGACAGTTTTTTGTCACTACTGGCCGGATTTGCGTTTAAAGCTTACCTCACAATGCCTGTAAATTGGCATTAAACACATTATTATTATTATTATTATTATTATTATTATTATTAGAAATTAGCCCTCATCGTTCAAACGTTCCGTCATAATTGCATGTATAAATTCACCGAATTTATTTCCCTGTCGTCCAGCTTAACTTCGTCCTAGCTCTATCCATACTGTGGTACGCATTCTATTACCTTTCTTATGTGTGATATTACTGTCTGTCTTGATACCGGAAGTGGGTAAGCGTTAAAAGGCCAGCTCCACTGCGCATTTTTTCGGAGAATGGACCAATTGGGCCACATCCTCCCTCGCCACACCGTGGCCCAACCATGTAGCCCAACCCTAGCCCTACTCAGCTCAATGTTTCACTTTTGTAAATCACGATTTCGGAGCAAAACTATGATACTGTTACCCAGTTTAATTTGCCATTCATTAGCCCCCATCAGCTCTTTCATTAAAAACTCCTTGGTTATCATCTGCGTTCCAGATTCCTTCTTGGCAAATGGTTGTAACCATCTGATTGTGCCAATTGGGCCACATTCGCCCTTGCCGCACCATGGCCAAAACTTGAAGCCCAACCTAGCCCATTTTGGCCAGACTGGGCTGGGTTGGACTGGTGCTGGCAGAGGACGAGGAACGAGTTTTAGAATTAACCGTTTGTTTTCATAGAGCAGTGACCCTAGACCCCTGACCGTTACAGTTGTTGGCCTCTGGACCTTCCATAAGACGGTATAGTACTTGAAGGTCGAAAGTCTCCTCGTCTCTACAGTGCATTCCAGTTGCGGTCGCATAAAGATTACATATGGTTGGAAGAGGCTTTCCTTGCCAGACTCGGTAAATGTTCGCTGATGATTTAAAAAAAAACATGACTAACTTGGCCACGTTCGCGCTGTTCGGAGTTGATTTAAGAGAAGATACAATCTACACATTAAAGTCCTTCTGACTGTCAACTGGCTGCCATGGTGTACCGCTTAGAAAGGAAATCTTCGGTCTGGAGATGTTGCGTCTGTTGACAGGAAGAAGGTTCTGCTTATTTACATTGAGGGACATAATCCATTTCCTCGACCTGTAATCTAGCCAGCTAAAGATTCTTTGCAGTTTGTTTCCGTCTACTCTACTGTGAATAACTTTCCGCAATTGAATTTGTCAGTGAACATGAGGATATCAAGGTCTAGATCCTCTACAGAATTATTGATGAAAGCAAAGAATGATGTGGAATCTAAAACTGAGTCCTTTGGAACGCCATTCATCGCGATTATTTCTGAGAAATACTAGAGTCCGAGTTGCACATTTTATAACTTTTCCATAAATGAATTATGGATCTGTACAATGAGGCTTCCCTGAACTTCTACACTACGCAGTTTGCGCAGGGAATGTTGACGAGGGACGATGTCAAACGTTCTTTTAGACTCGGTCGCGAGTACTATATTGCCCTCATTGCGTGACTTTTTCCAGCATTCAAGTAGGGAATACGGATTAACAAAATAGGAGCTACCACTGCGAAGGCCGTTTTGGTGTAGATGAGAAGGAAATCCTGCTCGAAAAACTGCATCAACACTTCCTTCGTTATTTTCCCCATGGTTTTCCAACAAACGGAGGTTTGACAAATCCGCCTGAAATTGCACGCAGATATTCAACTTCCGTTCTTAAATAACCGAGTGGCTGTTGTGGGCTCCCAGACGGATGGCGAGTAACCCGTAGCAGCCGCTTATCGGCGCATGATATGGACGGAACGTTAGTGCCGACAAAGTCAGTGGTTAGAGGCGTTTGACTTCTAACTAACAGGTCACGGGATCGAGCACCAAGTGTTTTACACTTCGGGGTGGGGTATGACTGTCTGACGACTGTTAATAAACCAGAAATGACCGTTCCATTCTCCTTCGTCTTAGCCGGCTATAACGTTCTGTCTACATCATGTGCCGCTATGTGGCTACTGGTTGGGCTCGAGAGAGAGAGAGAGCTCGTAAAGCACAACAAGACGAGTGAGTTCCGTAAGAACTATCGGTGAGCGCCCCTCTACCACATATACGTACATATTTACTCAGGAATGGACGCACACCGATCTATTGGCTTTCCAAGGCAAACTAACTTCATTTGGGTGACAGAGGTCACGAACACGCAACAACCTACCAGACCGAAATCGGCGAAGCTATGATAGCAGAAAGGAGACGGTAGAGTCTGGGGGTAGATTGGTACTGCGTTGTTTCGGGTTTGTTTGCCTTGATTCAGCTAATCATAATCCGGACCATCAACTGGAACTGGGAACATAGACATAATAATAATATTTTTTATTAAGGACCCGTCGGGGCCCCATCAAAGCAAGTAAAAATAAATTTACATGCGAATTTTAGACGAGGTAGGCAGAATCTTTACATAATGCAATTCATAGTTTCTGAATTAGTAGTCCGTTGAGAAAAGCGACTACCGAGGGGTGAAAAAAACTCCATACAAAAATTTAAAAATGATTGGAGTAATTTTACAGGAGTAAGCAACCACGCTTATAATAATAGCAGAAAAAGCAATCAGGACTGGCCTGCATGTGGCGTTGTATAACGGATTATAATCGGACATCGTCAGTGCAGAAATAAATGTCAGCCTTGAGGGGTACCTATGCGGGTTGGACGGTACTGGTCTGCATGTGGTATTTTATACGAGATTCAGAACTAACGTCGTCAGGGCATGATTGATAGGTTTGATGAAACTATTCGCGTCAAAGAGGCCAGATGAGAGGAACCCAGGAACCTCCTGTCAGTCTTTGGACATCTATGAAGAGTCCGATTGGCTACTGAAAATTAGCTGACTCTGATTTTGTTCGTGTAGACCAATAAGACGGTAAAACGTGGCATAAAATGGATATTGAAATTGTTAAATATGTTCCTGGAGGAACCCTGGTCAGTTAACATCAAAGATTCAGAGGACTTCTAGCAGTCCTTTCAGGTGATTATAGAGCGTCTCACTGAAACCAGTTGTCCAATAAAAATAATAAAACCATGTGCGCGACCGCAGTGGGTCACTTCTAGCAAAAAAAGCCCACGAATAAGAAACAGACGCTCTGGAGCGAGTTCTTGCATTTTCAAGATTCCATAACAATCGCCGGATATAAGGAGCAGCGCCTATAAATGCCGCAACCAAATACGGGCTGCCAGACTTCCTTTCGAGCGCCGACACACAGCAGAATCCATCATATGGGCATATCTGCAGTAGGAAAAAAACAAACGGACGAAACTGAGTGTCTAAAAGTAGCCTCGGAAACTTTTTAGTTGAAGGGCCACATAAGGTACAATAACTGTCTCAGTCTTTCGATTGTTTTTACGGTGGAGTCCTCTGGAGACAATCGGGTGTTTGAAATGAGACAAGACAGCCAGGAGTGTTAAATGCGTCAAGAGACTGCCGTCATTGAAACCGTTGACGTTTCCGTCGAAAAAGTAAGATGTGTACCCAGTTAAATAAAGCCAGACAAGTTCCCTGGACCCGACGGGATTCCAGGGCTGCTACTTAAGGAGCTCGCCACGGAGCTGTCAAAGCCTCTTTGACTCTCTTTGAGATTTCAGTGAGAACGGGAGGCTGCCATCGCAGTGGAAGACATCTAACCCCGTTCCCTTACATAAGGGAGGTAGCAGCATGGCAAAAAGCAGCTCCAGGCCTATTAGCTCAACTCGCCTCCCATACAAAATGGTGGAAGCTCTAGTAAAGAGCACTGTACAACAATTAGGTGAAGAAAATGACATCTTGCAAGATTTTCAACATGCCTTCGGGCGAGAACGTTCCTGCCTCTCGAACCTGCTGACTTGTCTGGAGATCTGGACCAGGGCTCTAAATGAGGGCTTTGGGGTAGATGTCGTGTACATCAATTTCCGCAAAGCTTTCGACACTGTCCCGCACCAACGTCTTCTTCACAACTTGAACGCCATCGGCATCCGGGGAGATCTTCTGAACTGGATAAGGACGTTTCTGGTTGGTCGGAAACAACGTGTCAGTATCGGAGATGATATGTCAAAATGGGTGAACGTGACCAGTGGTGTGCCTCAAGGCTCAGTTCTGGAACGATTGCTCTTCATCCTTTATGTTAACGACAGCCTTCAGGAACTCGACTGCGGCAAAATAATGTTTGCCGACGACGTTAAGCTCTGGTAAGTCATTAAGAGTCCGTACGACCAGAGAACCCTCCAAAACAATCTGCATCGACTGCAAGCGCGGTCGGAGAAATGACTTCTAGATTTCAGTGTGCAGAAGTTTGTCGTTCTCCATCTGCGTCCAACCAACTCTCATTCAAATGAGATCCTGAGAACATATCACCTGAATGATAAAAGACTCCCAGCAGAATCCTCACAGAAGGATCTCGGGGTGTGGATACAGAACAACCTTAAACCAACACTGCAGTGCCACAAGGCTGCAAAAAACGCCATGAAATCAAAAGGACATTCGTAACTTTCGACAAAGGCCTTTTTTGGAAGAGTTTACGGAACCTTTGTTCGTCCCATGGGGGTGCTCCATGCAATCAAAAGGGTGTCCGTAACATTTGACCAAGACCTTATTGGGAGAGTTTACGGCACTTTCGTTCGTCCCCATTTAGAGTGTGACATGCAAGCGTGGCTACCCTGTCTTGTAAAGGACCAAACGTGCCTCAGAAGAGTACGATTTTGGGTAACAAAGCTGGCAAACGGTTTCAAAAGCCAACCCTACATAGAAAGACTTAATTGCCTTTATTTATTACCTCTGTTACCCTGACCTACAAGATAATGCATAGCTTTGAGCATCGACTTATCTTTGAGGACATGTTTCAGTGGCACCTTTCACCCAATCTTCATGGTTATTCGATGAAGCTAAGGACAAAAATACCCATGCTGAATCCTTGTTCTGAACTTATCACACAAATAGGTGGCAAACTTTTGAATTTTATATCCTCCTACCTGGCCACTCGCACACAACGAGTTAAGATTTCCAATACTATTTCCAACCCCACACGTGTGAGGAGTAGAGTCAGTCAGGGCAGTGTACTCGGCCCGCTTTTATTTTGCCTTTTCGTTAATGATGTACCCGATTTATTTCAGAATGGTAAGCCTTTCATGTATGCCGATGTTCTGAAAGTTGCATATCGCTATAGGCCGGCAGATCGTGACATCGTGCTTGAGCTCCTAAAGAGCGATCTACAGGCTTTCGCACAGTGGTGCCGCACATAGCGCCTTTCTCTTTCTTGGCATAGGTGCTCAGTCATGGTGGTTGGCGACGACCACCAATCTCAACTAAATATTGAAGTTCACTCCATAAATGTGCCCAGGGTTATAAAGGATCTGGGCATATCATACTCCAAGAGTCTCAATCTCTCGGAGCACTGTGCCTTGATAGTCTCCAAAGCACGTAGAACGACCGGGTTTATCCTCTGAAACTTTAAAACTAGGGATATCAGAATGCGCCTTTACAACATGTACGTTTGACCTGGTCTGGAATACTGTTCGTTTTTATTTAGCGTCATGCGTGCTACTGAGCGGAAGAAAATAGAATCCGTTCAAATCTTTTTTACCAAGAGAATTTTAGCCGCGGAACACCGACATTTGTCTTACCAAGAACGTTGCCGGCTTACGAGCCTTGATCCTTTATGGTTCCGTAGATTACAAAAGGGACTATTTTTGCTATTTAAACTCTTATATAATCACACATTTAACCCACTCACTTCTTTAAGACATCATATCCACCCACGACATAACAGTCACCGTGAGGTCTTCTTATTTCTGCCTCTGGCACGTGCTGTTAATTATCGTCGGTTCTTTTCTGCAAATGCAATTGCTATTTGGAATAAACTACCAATGAGTGTGAAAACTCTGCAAAATTATCCTTTATTTAAGAGAACCCTTACTCGATTTTTGCATTCAGAAAAGCTCCCTCAAATTTTGGGTTCTGAATCCACTGATCGACTCTACCGTAGCGATGGCGTTTGTGGTCTCTGAACACTATGGCCGGCCTCACCAGCTGTTCCTCAACGCCTCTACTTTGACTATCCCCAACTTCATGAAAGGAATTGACGTCCGATGATCTCCGATACCGTGCAACCCTCTCCTCCCCCTTCTTGACGGTCGAAAATCTACCGCCAGCAGTTTTTTTTCTCCTGAACCCTTCAAACCATAAAAACCATCATCAACTATATTTTTATTCTTTAGGATTTTTTTTCACTGCTGGTCGGATTTGTGTTTAATCGCCTTCCTTGACGATGCCTGTAAACTGGCATTTAATAAATTAAATTAAATTAAATGGCAGTGGAGAAATGGAACGATCTCCATCAGTCTGTCGTGGAGGTGACGTCCCTGCAACTCTTCAAGAAACGCTTGGAGGATTGTTTGCGTCCCTTGTTTTTACTCCACAGCCCGAACTGGTGCTTAATACCCTGCGATCCCGGGAATTTTTTGTCGTTGAAACAATGCTTCTCAAATGAATCTGGTACTGCTTTAAAAGCGATGGTTTTCATTCCTTGTGTATAGTTGTATCTGCCGGGCTGAAATGCAATCGATAGGGCTTTCAAAGGTCTTGCCTGTTATTTTTACCAAATAAACTGAAACTGGGACAGGCTGAAATTTCAAGATTGATTTTTGGAGGCCTTAATGACGACATCCCACACCATGCATCCACTTTGTAACCGCCCAAATAGAGCACAGGGTTTCGACCTCAGTTTGTAGAGAATCCCAGATCAAGCTCGTCACATAAACCCGATAAAATCCACTGACGTCATACCAGATAAGTTCCTTTTTCGTTTGTTTTGT